TTAGGCAATATTCATTTCCTATATATAATGCAACAGGTGCAAGGGAACTCTTGAATAAAATATAATTATTGATTTAAAAACTGACGTTTGTTTCTTTATTTTATTATAGGCCTACATATAGGCATATCGGTACCGATATAGGCTTCACTTAGAATGACTTTAACTGAAGTTGATGATGACGGAATGATGACGTAGATCATTTGTGGTTGAATACAATCATAGTTTTATTAATTTGCATGGCAAAACTTTTGGAATCAAGATTCAACTTAGTTTAGCTGAAATCAGTGGTTTATCGCAAACGAAAGAATCTGGGCAACCATCTTGAATGAAGCTAACTGCAGTTAGAGTCATCCAGCTGTGGAACAGTGAATGAGGAAAAGAAAGGATTAGCTAGGTGGAGTGCGAAACATCCATGTTGTGGGTTACATAACCTCCTCATAACATATGTATCTCAGAACAAGTACCAAAGGTAAAGGACCAATGTTGTAATAGAACCTAGCAAGAAAATGTAAACTTTAAGTGTATACCAGTCCAAGAAATACAAACCCCATATATCCCGAAATCATGATCTAACATGAAAAGAAACAATGTGTAATACCCCTTTCCCCCAACATTTAAAGGACAACTGAAATAGCTTTTCTGAACTTGCAGCTACAAAAATGCGGTTTTCTCCATTGTAAGCCCAACGTAGATTTCTTGCGATAGCAATTATAAAATAAATGTTAGATAACTGCTAACAGTCATGGATAACGAAATAAAACTAACTGATAAATCAAATTGGCCCCCACGTGATTAGTAATGTCATATACAAAATATAGCTTTGGTTTATTGGTTCCTTAGTAATCGCAACGTCACGGCAACCATAGGATTGTTGTGTAAACAAATAATAAAACATTTTGGCATTATGACGTCATGATCTAATGGACAAAAACGGACCACGTGGGGACCAGTGAGAGATCACGTGGGGGCCAATAACGTCACAACCAATTCGAATATTGCTTATTAATCAGATAATAACGATCGTTAGAGTGAAATAATTTTCACACTACTGATGAGAAAACATGTACAAATACATTTATCAAAAAATTATATTGATTCCTTTAGGTTAAAAAAAATACCATTTCATATCTGCTTTAAGAACCAATATCACAATCCAAGACAAGAGCGACAAGGGGCATTTATACTGAAGTCATTACAATACACGATGTATAATACAAAATCTTTAACAACCATGATGTCACACTATTTAATGATTCTGTTCTCTTACAAAAATAAAATACATCATTTAAGATTACTGTATAATGATGAGTCAGAGAAGTTTCATGTTCCTAAGGAATTATTTCTGTCATTTTGAGTGTTAATAAGGTATCGGTGGTATGGTCTCTTGTGCAATAAATAAAGATGAAGAGACCACTAGGGGAAATATAGACTAATCAAATTCAAGTTCCGCTAAAAATGTATGCAAAATAACTAACCAGATACAGATTGCCCTTTGTAGATTTTTTTTGTTGTGAACTAAAGGATGGGGCTCAGTGCATTAGAGACGGAGTTGCACATAAAATCAATATGAGAATGTAGTATAATAATGTGTTGCACGCACATGGAATAGACGCAAGTACATTATGAAATATTCAAAATTCAGTCAAAGTGATAGCATATAGATCGGCTAGATTCCCCATAGACCCCATGTTATGAAATCACGAAAGTGAAATGTCTTCTTGTATTGGACTGATTGTTTTATTGGATGTATTTTCATTAACTATCAGATACAAAAGGGTAAAATGAAAATTTATCTACTAAAACTGATGAATATTCAAGATTAAGGTAATTTTCTACTATATCTGCCATGTTATCTGACCTGAATTAGCCACCTGGTGGTGAGACTGGTAACTACCAACTGGCATCTAGGTTATTACATTTGTTCCATTTCATACCTGACCAGCTTCCGTGTTTATCTTGAGAATATGACATTTGAGGTTATAACAGGTGTCTCTGGAAGCAATTATACTCATATTTACTGAATATGCAGTTATGTTTCTTTGAATATAATTGTAGAGGAACTCATAACATTATACATGTACATGCTACATACATAATACATGTATATGCATACTATGAGTTCTGCATGTGAGAGATGGATTTGGACTTTCAGTACAATAAATTAAAATGAGAATCCATTGTTAAATCTGTAGCTGATTTTCTGATATATATTTTAAACATTGTATGAATATCTAAGCACAAGTGCTAAAGGGAAAGGACCAAAAGTTGAAATGGAACTTAGCAAGAAAAAGCAAGATATAAGATATTTGGACTATAACATGTTTGGCATACACTAATATTCTTCAGAACATACTCTTCTGTGCCTAGAAACCAGAACTCCCAGCACAGTATTCAATAAACATGAGGAATGGAGAATGCTATTACCCTTTTAAATACAGGCCCGTAGCCAGGATTTGCCAAGGGGGGTTCATTTTTCAAAAATTTCCAGGGGGGGGTTCACTTTTGACAGTTTTGGCCCAAATATGGCTAAAATCACTTGAGAAGTGCTCAAAATGGTGAAAAACTGCATGATTTTGAAAGAATTTTTGGCTAGTGGGGGGGGGGGGGTTCGCCCGAACCCTGCGAACCCCCCCTGACTATGGGCCTGAAACATATATCAAGGACTAACTTGAAAATGGCAACCATACTGAGAAGGATATCCCAAAGAACAAATTTAATTGATGAAACTGAAATATGTCACTATATTATATTTACAATCATTCCCATGGCACCATGTCTTACTTCAAATTTCTTGTCCTAAACATGAAACACTGAAGCTGAACAGGTATTGAAGTGGAATAAAAGTATGTGACATGTGTTTATCGGCATCTGCAATTTCAAATCTTTCAAAGGTCTTTATTTATTAGTATTTTTCACATTAAACATAATAAAAGAATAAAAACAAAAAAGGAAACATACTTCACGATTTACCCAAATTCACTAAATATATAAGAACATTTTCACATCATAATCTATAGAAAGCACCTCTTACTAGGATTCTAAGATTATATAGCTCCATGCTATTGTTACTAATTCAATATTGGCCTTGACAGGTATTGGGCATCTTCTTATTTTCTTACATTCCATCCTATTTCTTTAGACAACTGACCATGATGCACATGGATTAGAAGCATTCAATAAAACAGAATGAGAAAAGAGTATGTAAATGTAACTGAATGTTGAATTGTACCTCATAACCTTGGATCTTCAATACTATGTACAATTGATTTTTTCAACACAGCCGGAAAGCTAACATGTAATAATGAAGCAGAATGAGAATAATGGAGGATTAAATTATTTATAATATTTAACAAAGGATAGTACAACTATATACAAGATTCAATATCCCAGATGCGAGTAGAAATAATCTTGATTTACGTCATTAAAAATTCAGTCAAACTGATGTCATATTTGGAATCTACATGTAAAATTACATTTAGAAATGTGGTTTTGAAAAGAGTTTATCAACTTTGAAAATTTAATTTTCTTTAAAAATGTGACTTCTAGGTCGGGGAGATTCCCCATAGCCCCCATGTTGTAAAACCACAAAAAGTGAAATATATTTTCTTCTGTTGGGCAGATAATATTTTCTTTTACTGGACATATTTTAATTTGTATAACTATCAGATACATAAGGGTAATATGAAAAGTGAACCACTAAAACTGATGCATATTCAAGTTTAATGGAATTTTGTAATACCCTGCCATGTTAATTCCCCCGAATCAGCCACCTTGTGGCGAAACTGGTAACTACCTACTCGCATCTGAGTAATTGAATTGGTGAATAAAAAGGGTCATCATTCTAAATCAGACTCTGTTGTCTGGAAACTTTAAAAGAAAAGTTTGAAAAATAGAAAGCATGAAATATCAGAATTTCCTGAAGTTCCCATTGACCTCTTACCAGATTTACTAAAAGTAGACAATGTACTTTCCTGAAAAAAGCAAGGAAATGAACACATACCTTCATACTTTATTTTGTACCAGAAAATAACATGTGCAGGTATAGCAATTTTTTACCAAAATGTTATTTTCCAGCTGTACCTTAGTAGCATGAGGCCAAATGTAGAAGAGAAACTCAAATTAAGCAACAGAACAAAATATTATTTTGAGTTGTAATAATGCTCCTGATAATGATTGGTAAAGAATGAACTGTTTATTCTGTCAGTATGATCACCATATCAACATCTCTTCAATGTCAAAATATTCATCCTTCAAGATTGGGCTTCACTTCTATACAGCAGCTGTGAAATGAAGTAAAATACCCTTGAACAAAGAATGAAAATATTCATTACAACAGTTTCAGCCAATAAAAAATACAAAGATCAATTAAAAATGAAAGGAGGACTTTTGATAGCTTTGTTTTGAACATTATTTGCAATATGATTTTGAATAACCTGGTCAGGCTTGGTATACAAATGAAATAGTCTGGTCAGGTGGAACAGTTTTGCTGTAACAGTGTCTATGTGTTACAAAGGGGTGACATCTTTTTGTAAATGTAAAGCTTTGTAGATGATATTAAATGTTCTGTTAGACAATGGCATGGATGATATACAATTATAATGCAAATGTCAAATACTATAATGCTATATGGCAAGAACAGTACTTGGGTGCATCAAAAAGTTTTGCAATTTTGACACTATTTCAAGTTCTACATTTAGCTTTGCTTTGAAATTTGGCACAATTATAGATCATATATATATACATAATGTGTCATGGTTTGGTTGCTCATCTGTGATCGGTTAAAAAGATATGGTTGCTATTGTAATGGGACCATAGTGTACTTGGTTCCACCTAGAATATGTTAATTTTAAATTCAATTATATTCTGTTATTATCATGATTCAGACACCAAAATTACAGGTTTGTGTGTCTTTTCGTCCCCCTTTTTCTTTTTCTTATTGTTCTGATGACATCACACAAGACCTATGACATATGGATTTACATTGTGATGTAGATTGTGGGGAGAACTTGTGAATTCTGGCAGCCATTTTGTATCAAGTTAATTTTCTCTTTCTGCTAATGGACAATGACTGATACGTTTACACCAAGTAAACTTCAAAAATGGAAACACAGAAACCTTATTGAATGCATGGTGAACAATGGAAAAACCCTTAAAGAGACATATGACATTGTCAAAGGTGCATTTGGTGATTATTATTATTTTATTATTGTGGAGGTGGTATAATGGCTTCAAAAGTGGAAAGCGTAAAACTCTCTCAGATAAGCCACGGAAAGGTAGACCTAAGGGGGATTTCAGGCTGTCTTCAGAGACTGGGTCAACAGACATCAACAATGTTTGGCAGCTGGGGGCGATTGTTTTGAATAATTTAAGAACAATGTTTGCAGAAAATTGATAATAGGAATTTGAGAACAATGTTTTAATATGCAGAAATTTGTTAATATGAGACTAAACAAGGTGTTGGTAAATTGATGTCATTTATTCTGTTTATTGCATAATACTAAATTTTCATTGAACTATGAGGTTGCATCTTATGTTGCAATGACAACTATATTTTCTTGAAGGTCCGGTCTCCAAATTTAACAGGTATGTCCACAAATGTATGATCACTGTATGTGCCAAATATAATGACATAACTTAATATAGTTATTGTGATAGAGTCAAAATTGCAAAACTTTTTGATGCACCCGAGTAAATAAAAAAATATGTATTACTTAAGCCCAGCTATTTGCTCCAGGGAATCTATATTATAGAAAGCAAGGTAAAACAAAACAATGTACAAGTAACACAGGTAACTATACACATATAATATTGTTTAACTCAAGATCCTTCATAAGATGGGCCAAAACTACCCTCCCCTCAAAAAAAGAAAGCAAATCCAAAGATTATTGCTGATGAATTGCACTCATTTATTCAATGATTATTGAATCAGTGAATCAGTACATAACTCCCAGGATGTGCAACATGTTCATTCAGTTTTTAATTTCAAAATTATTTTAAAATAATAATTTATTTGTCTTACGAAACACTGAGTTATCAAAGTGAAGCAGTTATTGATTCACAATTATTTTGCAGAAATACCTCATGTTGAACCAAACTCCATTTGCTACCATTCCTGTTATAGTTGTAGATGTAAAACAATTTACATTTCAAGTATTTTTATACTTTTACTAATCAAAGTTGTGTAAAACTTACCTGAATTGCTCATAATTATATCTTTTGTTTTCCTCAAAGCGCAAACAACAGACACCATAATAAAAAGAATGGTGTCTCCTAAGAAAACCGTTCAACTCCTCAAAACATGTGGTTTTAATCCTTAAAAGCAGGGGTCATGTATTCTCAGTAAACTTACTGTAAATGAATAAGATAAAACCATATGTATGTACATAGAATCACAGATGTATGGTATATATATAGCAGAAGACATAAATGGGGATCTAGTGCATAATCACTGATTTCATTTAGGCTTATTGCCTAACAGCCAATTGCAAGGAACACTCAATCCGTTTCCAACTGTAATGCTCTGTAATATCTAAGGTTCCAATGAAGAAATCCAAATAAATAACCAAAATTATTCTAAATATAAGTTAACAGGTAAATCTCGAGGATGCTTGGCTACCTAAGCTGAAGATAGAACAGAGTGCAGATACTGAAGGCTTCTCTTCTGGTGCGGATTTAAATTAGTCAGATAAAGCTATGGAAAGCTGGCTATGAGTTAATAACTTTGATTATAACAGAGACATCTTTATATTGGTTCAATATATTATAATGTTTTAAGAATTGCAAGCAGGAATGAGCATAAAGCAGGGTTCATATTGGATTACTTTGGCATGAACTTACCAAATCTTGGATAAATCTCTCAGATAAAGCTCTCAGATAAATTCCTAATATTTTATTATAGACAATATATTTCTCAAAGGATAATCAAATATTATCCTCAGTTGACTTCATGTTATGGCATTTCTTTGATAAATTAAGCTAATAAGAAACTGGACTGTCAGTGGTATATGAAGTCTTTTTAAAAGCCATAACCATTATAACTAGAAAAACAGCAACTCCACGGAGTAGCAAATCCCACCGAACAAAACATGTTTTGATAAATAGCAGCCATATAAAATTTGAGCCAAATCCATCCACTGGTATTTGAATTATCAAAGGTTATGTTCTTATGAAACATGGTTGCCATTTTGAAATTCAGCTGTCATCTTTAGGTTTCTTCTTGAGCAGAGCTCTTATGTCCCAAGGCATCAGCATATATAATCAAAATCCGTCAACTGGTACTTGATTTATCAAGGATTACATGTTTAATGGAAAATGGCAGAGATTTTGATAAATAGCAGTCACCTTGAAAATTTCGTCTCAAGCAGAGCTCCTTTATCTCTCGGCATCAGTTTATAAAATTTGAAGTAAATCCGTCCAATGGTATTTGAGTTATCAAAGATTACCTTTTTTATGAAAAATGGCACCCATTTTTAAATTCTGCTGACACCTTTGAAATTTCTTCTGAAGAAGATTTCCTTTCTCCCTAAACATCAGCATATAAAATTGGAACCAAATCCATCCACTGGTATTTGAGTTATCAATGACTACGTTTTTTTACAAAAAATGGTGGCCATTTTGAAATTCAGTGGCCATCTTGGAAATGTCTTCTTTGCAGAACTTCTTTGTCTCGAGGCATCAGCATATAGAATTTGAACGAAATCCATCAACTGATATTTGAGTTATCAAAGGTTACGTTCTTTTATGAAAAATGGTGGCCATTTTGAACTTAGTGGCCATCTTGAAAATCCCTTCTCGAGCAGAGCTCCCATGTCCCTAGGCATCAGCATGTAAAATTTGAACCAAATCCAAATTTGGTGGCCATCTTGAAAATGTCTTCTTGAGCAAAGCTCTTTGTACCCAGGCAACAGCATATAAAATTTGAACCAAATCCATCTACTAGTATTTGAGTTATTAAAGATTAAATTTTTTCTGAAAAATGGCCGCCATTTTGAATTTAGCAGCCATATTGAAAATTCCTTCTCGAGTGGAGGTCCTACACCCATAAGGCATAAGCCTATAAAATTTGAAATATGAAATATGTCAACTGGTATTTGAGTTAATGCCTGGACACATGAACGGACGGAGGGATGGATGGACAGCTTTTCTATATCCCCCTCGAACTTCGTTCGGTGGGATAACAAGGAGTCACTAGATGAGACACAAATTAAAATGCACATGGCATACTTGAATTAGTTCAATTCCAGTCGCAAAAGTGGCACCTATAATAATATATGCCGCCATATAAACAAGTCTCCATTTTAAATGAATCATGTTGCAAAAATTAAGTACAGAGTTTCATCCCAAAATTAAGCATTTCTATATTGGCAGAGTAAATAAGTGCCAAAAAACAAGCTAATAATCAGCCTTGTCATACATCTAAGCTAGCAGATTCCATTTGTGATTTTGGTAAGTATTGACCAATTATGCAATTAGCTAATGGAGTTGATTTTTTCATTTCAATTAACTGCCATTCTTTTCATATGGCACGAAAAATTGACTGTACTCTAAATTATTGATAATGTTTTAGATAACATTAACTTATCAATGTACAGTTGCATGTGATGAATGAAATGTAATACAAGTATATCTAATGCAATTAGCCACAGGGTGGTCTAAAAACAAACCATTGGAAAGTGTATGTCCAAATGTTGATTTATACTTGGCATTTTTACACAGTAGACTAAATTCAATACATCAGAATGAGGGCGCCACATAGCCAAAATAGTCAAAGTCATAGAAGCAGATCTGGACTAAATTATGTTTATTTTTAGCCTTTTTACTATTACTATTGCTATATATCAAATTTTCGTATCTTTCAATATTAAATTTGAGCAACACAGATGAATTCATAATAGTTGTCAGTATAGGTCAGTATTTTAAAAAATACATGCATTACAGCCTTAAATCTCTGAAAGAAAAATAGAAATGGAGAGCACCTAAATAAATATTATATTGAATAACAGTTTGTCCTAATGGTTCATGTTTTGGACCACCATACGGCTAAAAATTTATTTCAGAGTAAATTTCCATTTGTATTCACTACAGCATAAACACACCAAAGATATTGGTTTTATAAATGGTTACCATCATCACAAACCACAACAGTCACAAATATCAAGCATTCTGGGACTTTTGAATGCATTCAAGTCAACAACAATTTTAAGGATTTGAGGAATTTTTTCTGTTGGACAAAAATGTTTAGTATGATAAACATTTTGCTTTGGTGCTTTGTTTAACTGTTATACATGTAGTAGATTATATTACACTTTCTCTCTCCTTGATTTTTTGGATGTAAAATTGTTTTCATAATTTTGTCCAAAATATGTAAGTTGGTCATTTAGTTTCAGTTAAAAATAAGTTTCAGATGGATACAAACCTGCTGGCTGTTGATTTAGGCCACATTTTTATATAACTTTTTGTTCCGCTATATATACTGAAAATCAGATTAACTTAGCGATGTTTCTGGAAGATATTCATCCACTGATTCCAAAGAATATTAATCAAAGATTGTTGCCATTCATGATTAAATGCCAAAAATAGAGTAATGAACCGACTGCACTAATGACACTGATATAATAAATCACCCTTTTGATTTATGAAATAATTATGAACTCCCAGAATGGTATGTATATTGTATTATTTTGGTTAACTGTAACGCTTCTTAAATTTCTAATTATTATACACTTTTAGTCTAACACAATGTTTCCCTTCACAGGAGGACTTCCTATATTCTGTTCCTTTTGTGTCAACATTAAGTATATCATTAGTTATCATTAGAAATTCTGTGGACATACAGAACATCTAAAAATAATGTAATCTATAACTCACTATATCAGGGCTCTGTAATTGGTATTGTAATTAAAATGAATGACTCCTTAGTTGCCTATAATGTGAGACAGGGTTAGTTTCAATCAGACAGAGCAAAAGGTTCATTTGAAGAACAAAAACATTTAAAATACCTTCAACCAACCAATATTCAAAGTCAGCATGTTGTAGTGTAACACTCATGAAAATAAAAATGATACAATAATCCCCCAAGTACCTTAAACTGCTATACATTCCATATTATTTATAAAATTGATCATTGTTTCAAAATGAAATATGGGTGTAAAAGTTAACATGAATAGCAAATGATAGAAAACACACAAGGTATCACCAAATAATATAAAAGGATGTGTTAAAACTTAACTAATTGCATTGACACATTATAATATGAGTGTCCTATGGGATATCTAAATATGTCAACTATATACTATCGCCTATGTATGTAAGAAATATATTATCACGATCCAAGACCATAACACCAAGG